GTTTATTGCAGTCTTATTTTTAAAGCAAAATATTAGAAAAATTAGGGACTTGAATTAATTACCATAAAATTATAGAATTGAATACTATCATAACCTTAAAATCAGCTTGTAGGAGAATAATGAAATAGAAAAATATTTGCAATATAAGTGTTTTTTAAAAAGCAGATTACGATATTATGTTCCCAACTTTGTGAAAAGTAATATTTTCATGCCTAGGTAGTTTATTGCCCTGAATTTGATGAGGGTACAAATGACAAAAGGCTGTGTTTCCGTCCAACCACTGCCTTCAACTATGTCAAGTCTCCATTCCCCAACTCTTGGTGCTGTCTCAGGTAAAGCCTTCAGCCTTCCATACGCCTTCAGTTATTTTTTCTAAATCCAGGCCAAATCAACACCTTGATTTAAACTCTCGGTGAAAACTTCTCCTTTTCCCTCCTCTTGGATATGCCCTGATACCTACAAGCATTTAGTTTATGATAAAGGTGTCATTTCAATCGGTTATGAAAGAGATTATTCAATAAATAATACCAGGATAGTTATCTAACTATATTTCCAAATATATTCCAGAAGGATTAAAGGATTAAATTTAAAAATAAAATCAACAAAGAACTAGAAACAGGTGCTGTCGTTAATTGGGGGAATGTGAATTAACTGGGAACCTGCAATGGAAGAGGGGCCACTGCTGCCACCTTCGTTCTCCTCCACAGGCTGTGCAATGCTACTGAGACGTGGGCACTACTCATTACAGCAGCCAGCATTATTGTAATTAACACATGATGGTTATGATTCCAGAAATCATTAAGGAAAATCAGTCTTATATTACACAGTCATCCTTCAGATGGAAAATAACTTAGAAAATATTAAGTATAATTACCTAAAACACACTTTTCAAGGGACATGAAATTCTCATCCTGAACAAGCTATTTTTATGAAAATACCAAAATAAATGGGACAATAATTTAGTGATATAAAATGGCATCATATCTTTAATTTTCTAAAATAAATAAGCAATAACTCAAAAATTCTCTGTGGTTCAAACATCAAAATACTTGAACATTTAGAAAATATTTGTCTTCTATTCAAAAAAAATAACATTCTTAGCAATGTTATATACATTTTAATACGTAAAATTTCATAGTACTTACAATAATATAAACACTCTTTCCAGTTCCTGTTGGTCCTACAAATATTGAAGGCTTTTGATGAGTGGTCAACAATCCCATTAATGCAGAGTATCGAATTGTGTCCAAAGTTGGTACAATGATTTCATTAAACAACACATCTCTAGGAATTGGAGGAGCTACTTCCAATTTCTTTATCCACTGTTCCCATTTTCCTATTCCCTGTTTATAAGAAACAACCAAATAGTGAATGTTATGTTATAAAAAACTTTTAAAAGGTCTATACTCGTGGACCATTGTAGAAAAGATCAAGACCCACAAACTCTGATATTTATACATTTGTTTTATCCTTTAAAACTGTGGTCCC